ATACCAGCTTAATTTTTGATCATTTAAGAGATTGACGTGATTATATCAAGATGTAGAAATTTTAATAGCCGAACGGATATGTCAATTTATCACAAGATGTCCATTTAAATATATTCAGCAACTCATTAAATATTGTTCAGAAAATAAATCTTCAAAGCAAAACATTCCAAGTCAAAGCTTACAAAACGGTTAAGTTTTCAAAAAGATACCTAATAAGTAATACATCAATTAGAATACAATATGTAAGGTAAGTATGTGATTACAACACAAATTGACAATTATTTTTTTTTGTTTTTTCTTTAGTTTCATGCACATACATATATATATATATGTACATTTAAAAAGAAACACAGTATGGAACACTCCGACAAGTATAAATAAGGATTCTACTTATTGTATATGGAAACTCGAGTTATTATAGCCTTACACTGAATGTAGCCTATGTCAGGGAATTAGACGCTGGGGTAAGAAGTACAGTTGTAAGCGGAAACTATCAAAGCGAACGTCAAATGTATAACGCTATAATAACTAAAGTCGTTATTTAAACACTAAACGGTTTTTCATTAAACCTTTCTTATAGACTAATTGGTGTTCTTTACCTTTGTGAATCGTATGTATGTACATCTTAATGATTAATATTTCACATTGCTATACAGATTTTGTTTATACCAGAAGTTTCAGGCAACTTAACATTATGCCGAATATATTATTACTAACACTCGCCCGCGACTCCACCCCCGTGGTTAGTGGTTTGTCCCCTTTATACCGCTCCCTAAGTTGAATTTCCAAAAAGTTTACTTTGTGGTACATCGTAGGTATACGGTGTATGCTTGTTATGTAATAAACCCGAACCAGATGCCTCAAGTATACCACAAGTGTATGAGTATATAAAAGTAAATGTTCTCGGATACATGTCGCACTGGAAGATGACGAATATTTTTAAGTTTTTATGTTATTTTATACATAGTCTTAGTTTTTGTCTATTGCAAATCGTAAAACTGGATTTAACTGAGAGTCAGTGCAATCGAACCTAAAGGTGCTCCCTCACTGGGAGCATTCACGTGTAATGTAACATTATAGATTCGAATTTGAGCATTTTATAGCAAGATATCAGACATTGATGTTACAAGTTGTATCAAGATATTACATATTGTATCATTACAAGGTGCGCATTGTAATGCTTGGTCGCCTCCTTCACTGATGTAATGCTCAGATCTGTAATGTTACATTACACGCGAATGCTCCCGGTGAGGAAGCACCTTAAAATTGAACGAGAGCCATGTTTAAGTACCTATGAAATCTTCTACATTTTCTCGACGTGCTTTACAAATAGATCAGTTGTGCAACCAGACACAGCTACTAACTATGTGACCATTGTAATTCCACAATGATAATCACATGCTACCATCGGTATAGCAAAATCTGTATAAAATATGAAATCAATTAACATAAATATATATTATGAATATGATAATAATAACATTAATGAATAATAGTTGTTCCAATATACTATTTACAGTCAATCCTATCCTTTCGCAACCCATTCACCCGTGAAGTCATGAACATTATGGTATTCGAACAATGGAAGCGTAGCACGGTTTTATTTTGGGTAAGAATCCATACTCTTCCGTAATCCATAATCACTGCATTGGAACGACCAGTAGCCTACCTATTGTAACTTTTTTTGACATGTTTTTTTGTTTTTTTTTTATGTAAAATATAATAGTTCTTTGTTACATGAAAAATATATCTTTGTTCTATTTTTATATACATCTAATTAAATTGGTGTTATACCTTACGTAGGCAACGGCTTGTGTGTGCACGCTGCCCGGAATAAATCATATACTTAATATCTTATTCTACGCAAACATCGAAAACAACATCATATTTTTTTTTGTATTTTTATGGATTTTTTGTAACTACAACACATATATTTATATTAATAACTATACTTATGTCAATAAAGAATTAAGTAGCTTCAAATTATACAAATAAAATACAAAGTTACAGGTAAGGTCGTTCTGTAAAAAATGATACTATACTTTATCTCAGAAGGTTCGTTGTGAGAGCTTTTAGTTAATTACTGAATTGCATGTAATAGCAATCTGTAACTATTTATTGACCAATCGAATGGATCGAAAGAGATTGAGTGAATATATTAATGAGCCTCACATTCATTCACGCAAATCTGAAATGCTACAAAATGAAGGTGAACTACATAAAAATGTAGAACTACAAAAATATAAGAAAAAATACCTTAAGCTATACATAACTATTTTCAGTCGGTACCACCGAAAGAAATATCATAAGATATCCGCATTGTAAATAATTGTAACATGACCATATTGGACATTTACCGAATTAAATCTAATCTAATAAATTAATTAATTAAAATGTACCTACTAACATAATATAATACGCACAACACTACATTGGAAATTAACTTAAACTAAATTTAAATATGATTACAAATACTCAAACCTTACCATATTGGAACCGAACCTATTTTTAATATAATACATTTTGATACATCTGGAGTCGACTAATTATTTATACGTCTCCGCCGGTCAAGTCCTATCTTTTTGTATATTTGTGAATTTTTGTATATTCACATTGTCCATACACATAAAATATTCGAATAATACTTGGGTACGAGTTACCATGTCATATTTTGTGCAATATATTCCTAATAATTGGCTTAATTACTAAAAGTTATAAACCACTAACAACATGGAAACAAGACTTAATTAATTAATACAAGTAGGTTTTATTACACAATCTATAGAGAAACACACATAACGCCCCAATATGATAATTTTTGAGTAACTATTATACTTAATTAAATACAAATCTTGTCGAAGTGCTCCTCTAAATAATAATACTGCATTGTGTATATACTAATGATAATTATAACCTTATTTGTTAAACCTTTTTCGTGACTGTTATGTTTAAATATCTATTCAGATAAACCATTACTTGTTCTTTTATAGTGTGTTGTCACGGCAGCCTAATGTATGGTTAGCAGTGCCTATTTGCACTTACTGGGGCTGCCCTGTATATATCGGCTATTAGTAACCTTAATAATTATTGTATAAGTATGCTTATAAATACTTCACTGTGTAGCAGGTATTTACAGCTGTAATATTATCTACGATGAGACTTGAAAGTAGTTTTTTGATAAACAAATATGTACAAACAAAATTGCAATTTAACGTATGACAAAATTCCTATATACCCATTTAGTGTATATTTAAAAGTTTTAACTAAATTGGAATGATTGCATTCAAAGGGCAGTTACGTGGAGTCCTTGTGCTCTATTCGAGCTGGTGACGTAAGCTACATATTTGTGCGCGTGATCCGTAACATTCTATTTTATAATGAAGCTTATTATGTCACAACAATTTGGCGCTCGTAATTAAATGAAGGCTACAATGGATACCGACTGGTACCAGCCGACCTATCGTTGTCCTTTTAAATTAATGTGCTTAATAATAATTATAAATATTTAAAGTTATAAATTATCTTTGGCACTTTGCCACTATTTTACAAATACTTATGACTTATGTACCTATAATTTAATTTTAACATCACATAGATTTAAAAACTACGTTTATGAGCATTGATTTTTATAAGCAGGTTACTAGAAAGTAGGCGATTGTTTTGGAATTCGGAAATTTTACGATAATTTAATTATCCTAGGTATATTTATAGAAAGGGTAATTGTACATAGGTAACAAGAAGGGTATCATAATTATTGCGGTCCTGTATTCGAGAACGTTTTATATTGTGAATATTTTCTATGTTCGTCATCATCGTCAAATGAAATAATTATGTTACAGCCGAATTGCTTATTTACCCGCTTAACAAAAAGGTAACCTTTTCAAAAAGAGCATTTGTTTTGTGTTTTTGTCTCGTCCACAATTCAAAAGTCATTTTTCTTTGCCAGAACAAAAAGATGTTTGTCTTCCATTTTTTTATAAACAGATGCAGAATTTTGAAATGATTTTCCTCCTTCACGAAATACCAGCGCTAAGCGTATTATGTGGATAGGTCAAAAAAGGACGAAAAATTCCCGGAACGAAGATGAAGGCGAGTATTAGCATATGAGGGAACCTTCACTTCCCTCTTTATGAAAGGAAAGCTATTCTATTCATAACTTTTTTTAGAGAACGGTTTTATTTTTAACTCTTACACTGAATATCTAGTCTCTTGTTCTTATTTTTTTTTAGTTGAACAATACTCGCTTTTTTAACTTTAGAATAAAACAATTGATGATTGAAAATTGCAAAATATAAAACAGTGTCCTTCTATGTATACATAAACATACATAAATTAAGCTTTGACCTTTACTGTATTATTATACCACAAATAAATAATACTTTTAATTAAATGAGTACATTCATTATCTAACAAAAACCCTATGTGTATCAGCTGCAAGTTGTGAAAGTCGCCAATTCAACACATCTAACCAGTAATGTAACGTGTCAAGTGAATATTGTTTACGGTTTGTGTAACGTGAGAGATTCGGCTAAAGCTTCATCAAAGAGCAATGTACAAAGCTATGATCCATACAATGATTTAGTTTACATACTTAAAATGTTTATAAGCTACTTATGACCTAGACCTGTTTCAGGCAAGTTTATTAACACTATGTATACATAAAATTTTCACTTGTAGAAAAATATTTTTGGTAATTTCATAGACGAGGCCTAACTAGTCAAATTACATAAGTCATAGGTTTAGAAGGGAATATAGACACACCTACTTAGATAGAAAACACTCAAAAGTCTTTGGCTTTACACTAAGTCGTCCTCGTACTCGTATCAGATATCGTTAGTGTCGAACATCGGTGGTGGCGCGGGGAAGCCATGCGTCGGATATTTATATCTTTGGGATGAAATAGTGGTTAACGGCACGGGAACTTCAAACTGGACTCTGGTCGCGCCTACAGTGCAGTGATGCGGGCAGGACGCCTGCGCAGTAGGCGAACGGGCACGGCGCTAGCTGCCTTTAGGCACCAGGTGATAAGGCGCGTGGATGGTAGCCACACTGCCGAGCTCCGTGTGGCTCAGGAGCTCGTCGGGGTGCTCATGCTCGTGCTCGCGCCGCTTCTCTTCGTTGGTGTAGTAGTGGGCGGCGCGGCGGCGCGTGCAGCACAGCGCACCCGCCACTGCCGCCAGCACGGCCACACACAGCAGCATGAGACCAGCTATCACGCTCATCTGCGCTTCGTGAGTACTTGGACACGGGTCGAGGCGATCAAAGGACATCTCAGCGAAGCTCACTCCCCGAAGACGTAATGGGGAGTAGCATTTCAGCTGACGTAGAGTAGAGTTAAGCACAGTCGTAGTCATATAAACCAGCATCGTTCCAGCTGAGCACTGGTCACAGTGCCATATATTTTTTACCAAGTTGACTTGCGCAATTGCTTCTAGTCGTTGCAAATCCATTTCACCTAGTGTTTGCAGCTTGTTGTGCGATATATCAAATCTTTGAAGAAGTTTTGTTTTTGTTAACAACTTAAATGGAAAAGTAGTTAATTTATTCCATGAGATGTCGAGAGCAATTAGCCTCTCATTATAAATAAAGAAATTCGGCGGTATCTCTGGGAGAGATAGATTTGCTAGACCAACACCTTCGATCTCAGGTAAAATTTGTAAGAGAATTGCTATCTCATTCAGGGCTAAATTGTTTCCGCTAAAATTTATAGTTTTTAAGCAATCCACAACCGGAGCAAAAGTTTGCAAATGAAACCGATCAATCTTGTTGTGGCTAATGTCAAGGTGGGTCAGGTTGGTGAGGTTGGCGAGCGCGGCGGGCGCTAGCAGGGCGAGACGGTTGTGTGCCAGCGACAGCACGCGCAGCTCGCGGTTCCGTCCGAACATGTTGTCCACGATGACAGACAGTTGATTACCGTCCAACTTCAACTTTTAAGTCGTTTTAAACTTATAAATTCATCAGAGGTGAGATATTTAAATTGATTATCTCCTAAATCCAATTCTTCCAAATTGGCTACTAGATGGTAAATCTGAGTATTAATGCGTCTCAGTAAACAACCTCTACACTTGAAAATCCGCAAATGTTGAATATCCTTAAATACTTCTGGGTTCAGCTCAGCCAGCGGATTATGACTCAGGTCCAGGATTAAAAGTTTCGCTAACATGCGGAACAGTCTCGGCACCAATATGGAAATTTCGTTGTTCGATAAAGTTAATGTTTTCAGTGACGTTAAATGCCTGAATGTCTCACTGGGCATTTGTTCGATATTATTATGATCGAGATACAAGTCGGTGAGATTTATGAGTCCTCGGAAGTTGTCAGCTCCTATACTGGTTAGATTGTTATAGGTCAGGTTTATTAGCCTCAGGTTTTGTAAGCCCCAAAAGGAATATTGTCCTATGGACGGGACATTGGAATTAACGATGTGGAGTTCTCTGAGGTTGACGAATGGCGTAGGTTGCGTAAAAATAGGACCGATGGTAAGCTCGTTGGGTTTGTCGCGTGGGGCAGCTATTATGATGACGTTTGCATTCCGGTCAATGTAGTCGACAGGAATGAGGCGCATGTGACCGCGCGTACAGGAGACTCGCACGGCTGCGCCAGCCTCCGGATCGAACGTACTGCGACACGTGCACTCTTCGGGACACGTGATCTCCGCGCCACTGCAACTCATCATCACTGCACTCGTTGACCACAATAGCAGGAGTAGTTGCCATGTTGGATTTCTGAAACAAAGAAATAAGGTTTAGGAAAATAGTACAGCCACAAATAATGTTTGATATCTATTACACAGAAGACAAAATTTAAACAAGATTATTAGGCTTGGAATGACTCCCACAGGCGTTTAAATAACATCTAGCATATAACACACGAATCTCATTATTAAACAAATGTATCCTAGCTTCACTGAGAGACTGACTGACAGACTATTATTTATGTTGTCTTTGTTGATGTTTAAAATGTACCAAATTATGGTTTAATTGAAGTAAATGCTTTGACTTTGACTTTTACTTTGTATTTTCAAACATATAGTCATTAAAATCACATTGGTGTCGTTTGATTATCCACTGCTAATTTCCTATTTCCCCATTGCAATGATTAGGATTCCCTAATGGGACTGTTTGGTAGTAACTAACTAATTTATAACTAGACACAATAGACTATGCATACTAGATATCAATAACCTACTTAGTTACTATAACATAACATCACGCCTTTTTATCCCCGAAGGGGTAGGCAGAGGTGCACATTTCGGCACTTAATGCCACTGTACAATGTAACACTCACTTTTCACTATTTATGTTATGAGTCCCATGTAATAGCCTATTGCCATATACCGGGCACATTTTTCCAGACTCCGTGCTACTACTGAGATTTTTTTTAAAACCCAGTATTACTTTGCCCTACCCGGGAATCGAACCCGAGACCCCTTGCCCGGCAGTCGCACTTGCGACCACTCGGCCAATGAGGCACTTAGTTACTATATTTTACTATAAATTATTGTCGCCCAATTGTGGTAACTTCCTTAATCTTATATTAACCAAGTTAACACGGAGATCAGTTAACTGCGATAACTTATGGTTTCCGACCGAGGGTGCTCGTTGAGCGATCAGAACCTTGGAATGCCCTTAATTACTCTCTATAATTTATCGGTAATAAAACTATGTGAAGGTCGTAACAGGTAAAAATATTGTTAATCTGCCCATTAACAGTACTTAAGTGTAAAAATGCTCGAGTCCTGTGTACTAGGAACGAGATTACAGTCTTGTGAAATATGTGCTTCGCTTTGTCCGCGGAATCCAAACCCCTGAAAAATAACGGCCAGATAACAAAAGGCTTTTTGACGCGCCGACTAAGCGGCATCCATTACGTGAATTCCGAAATATTTATTCGCACCTTAATGAAAAAAAAGAAATTCTTTTGTTAGTTCTATCACGAGGGCAAGGCTTATTTTAATTTAAATTTACAAAGATATGATCTGAACTAAAAAGGGTTCACGGTGACTTCAGACAGGGAAGATAGATTCCTTCAGGATTTAGGATATTTAAGCGGTTTTATTTAGCTTACCCCCGTTGTTTTGTTTGGGAGTATTTGTAATTTCACCCCCTTCCTGACTGGTCGATCTGTATTTGGTACGTACACTTTTAATCTTGATGACTATAAAGTCAAAGTTTATTTATTAAAACTACCTAAATGACTACATTAAGTAAATATTACATCAAAGAGCTTTATAGAATCCTTAGATAGAATAGAATAAGAGCTCATTAAAACCATTTAACATAAAAAATTTATGTACCTATTACTTGTTACTTCTAAATAGGAAGGTTTTATTATTATAAAAGCAACTGATTTTCAAAATGTGGCGTACATTAGTTGTGTTATTTTCCAAGAAATTAGATCTTCATCTTATACCTACATATTTTATGAACTGAAACACGGAGTTACAGTAAAAAAATAAAGTACGTCTTATTTTATTTACCTCGCTACTTAGATTGATGACGTGATGAACAGGACTGTGTTACTAATTAGTAATTACGTTTTTTCTTTTTAAAACGTGTGTATTTTGCATCCACACTGGGATTTTCTCACACAGTTATTTTCTCGTATTTATATATTGTAAGCAGGTGATTGGTGCCACAATAAAAATCTATTATTCTCCGCATGATACGCCGGAGGTAGCAAAACTTTGTTATTTCGTTGTTAAACGAAGTTGTAAAGTGAAGCTCAGTTATTGTTTTATCAACTGTATAGAAACAGTACGAACAAACAAGTTGTGTGGTACATTCACGGCACATAACATTTCATATCTACTCCTATACCGACTAACGCAAGACCCGTTTGTCAATTCGATTGTAGAAAGAACATATGCTTTAGTTATTTCCTACGTAGAAATATTTCCATCGTATGTGAATCACCCGGTTTATATGTTAATGCATTTTCTTACTAACCACTGTTGACGCAAGATGAAATCTAACAACTAATTACCTAGTAATTGCTTCATTTAAACAAATAAACGGAGCAAGCGAATAGCAGCAACACACAATTTGTGAGCAGGACCGGCCGTAGTCGAGCCCGTCCGGGGACGTCTCGTGAATATGGATCAGGTATTTAAAAGAGCAAGACATTGCCACTATGTTGTTGAACAATTGAATAAATCCAACCTCCACAGACGCAAGGGTTTAACGGGTTATTGGAGTTGGCTTTGAATTTCGTAACAGGCTTATTATTATTAGGGGCGCAATGTCGTTTTTTGAAATTCAAATTCAATATCACCCTCCGCTCTGTATAGCAACATTCTTTCATAACTCTTCTTATTAAATCCATAATGCTGTCCCTATAACTTAAGTTATTTTATGCTAATCTTGAATGGAAAGCAGATAAGAGAATGTGGCCTGTTTAATATGCTGCGCAGGATTCGGATGACGCGAGCAGGATACGTCACACGACGCTTATAGACGATCCTGGGTAATCTTAAGACTAGCGTGATGCTTATTACCATTCTGAATATAGTAACCGCAAGGTATTGCGTTACAAACATTCGCGATATTTGTTGAAACAAGACTGTACTGTAGTTATAGTAAGCTTTGTCGGAGGTAAGTGTTCCGAAACTTACGTTCCGTAGTAAACGCTATGTCCTTGACCTTCTATTTTCTTCGCACCGTATCTGCCTGGCATTTCGTCGAGTCGTAAACATTGTACCATTGTACGATAGCAAAGTAAATGTAAAGAACAGTTACACGAACACTGGCCGGTAGTGATTTAACAAAATACAATGTATTTTGTTAAATGGACTAATTTTGAATGAACATAAAGTTATCAATTTCAATTTAAGGCATTTTAAGGGAAACAACTCATTCATCAGTTTCAATTTGAAAATTATGTGATGAATATAAGTTAGCCTATCAATTAGGTATGTAGGTATGTATATACTTACATATAATTTAAAAAACTCATGGGATCATAATTAATATGTGCCAGAAATCTACATTTCCATTCTAAGCACTAAGAAAGATTTATCAAAATTCCTACTGAAACTGGAACACAGAAAAAGGTTGTCCTATAGTCTTAGATGTTAAAAGTCATGATCAAGAGTGGATTGGAGATCCAAATACTAAAAGGTTTAGACAGTACCGTCTTTACTATAAGGTCCGTGCCCAGGGCCCCATCATCAGCGGGCCCCCAAGGACTGACAATTTGTATGACGGACACGGCAACCGGTTACTGCGCAACTTATAACGGGTTCGATTCCCACATCTAGCAAATCTTTGTGTGCTCCATAAATTGTTGATCTGGGTGTATGTGTATGAGAACTTGTATATTGATAAATAAATGCAACCACGATACAGGAGAAAATCGTAATGTGAGGCAACGTTAATAAAAAAACCCGAACTATTTATTGTATGCCCAAGAGCCCCACCGTTTAGACTTGGTGGTTGAAGACAGCCATGGTTTAGTGATAGCGATGCTGCTCAGTTTCCATCAAATGCTCCTTAGTCGTCTCTTACAATACCAGCTGGAAGTAGGAGTGATGATAAATACACTCTACTAAGACACCACTTTTTAAATAAACGGGACACAAAATAGAAAACAATATGGGCATTTAAAGTGCAGGTAGCGTGCGGTAGTTACTATCAAGGCAACCAGTATAATGAATAAACAGTTTGTCTTTAAGAGCTTTAACGTTAACAACATGTTTTATTAACAGCTGTTTTATAGAGTATTGTAAATTTAATTTAATTTGCAACTCTGGCTGTTAAATGTCACATTCATGAATGCAACTTTCAATAAATAAGAACTGACATGTAAATCTGTCAATAATCGAAACGAATATACGATATACTGGAAATGGCTACACATGATCCATTACCCTCTTGCTTCCTGTATGTCTGTGTTCAAATCTTAAAATAAATAAAAGAAAAATAATAAAAAAAAATCATCTTACGTTATAAATGTTGAAATAACTATTAGTACCTAAATGTACACACTAAAGACATTATCACATGTAATAATACGATTATAGATGCTGCCTAACACCCCAAATAATCCTTTAACAAGTATCGACGGTTTGTAAGTCATTTTAGAAGTTAGTACATTATATAAATGTTTTTATTATGATTAAGTCACCGAGCTTACGAAGCTTCGCAAAGTACTTGAAACTAAAGTTGTACATACTAGTTCATAATCTGTGACCGAGGTCAATTAGGTCACAGTTTCTTCTATCAACAACTTGCTTAGCTCATGAAATTCATATCAGAACAGAGGTTCATCGACCAATAGAACCCTAAAAACTTACCCTAATTTATTAATTCCAACAGAAAAGTTTTCTCATTACTGAATTCCCACAGGTCTTGGTATTATAATATTTTTATTAACTATTTGACCGCCAACTTCTCATAACTACGTATCTGGCACAAAAAGAATATCTCCAAGTTTGACTTTCTTTGTTTTGTGTGATCAGTATGATATCTTGGTTACTTAAATAACTTTTAATAGAACTGCTGTTGTTCCAATAAAAATCTACTCTATACATTTCATTGTACAACATTTTCACAAATCCACTAAAATACATAAAACTTGACGGTTCAACTAAAACCGAGTTAATAAAAATATCCATTACAACACACAATATGATGATCGACGAGCGACTAAAATTTTACCAGCCTCATGTAAGCTGCCAAAATGTGAGAGTATTTTATTTGAATTTTAAGGTAAATTATCACATTGT